ATTTCTCCCAAAGGATTTTTGAAGAACATCACAATTTTTTATGGATGAGAAATAGAAATATTTGATTTTTGCAAGGTAATATTAACTTTATAAACTTAAAGCGACGTCGTTATTTCGGAGAAAAAATAAATACCAACACTAAAAATATACAAAAATAAAAACACTATATTTGTCGACCGGTAGGTGATCAAGGGAATGTTAATTATGTCGAGATAGTGGTGTTCGACGTGAAAAAAATATGAATTAATAATATGGAGAATTATCAGTAATATTACTTAGATTACCTATACACAATGCTTTTGGCGCCCGGTGCACACGCACCTCTCGCACCCCCTTAGGCACAGCCCTGTATGTCTTATACCTAAACTGACATATATTGTCTCCACTCAGAATCGTTTTTCTTATACAATGATATTATATCATTCAATTCAAATTTAATACTGTCCATTAGACAGTGACCCACTTGTAACCTACTGTACAGCAGAGCACATTTTTTTTAATAATTAATAGTGAAGAAATTTAGTAGAGTTAATTTAAAATTTCAATATTTTTAATTTTTTTTTTTTCTATAAATGGCAATACAATTTTATTTGTTTTGCCAAAAATCTTCAAAATTTAATACTAGGCATCTGATATATTGATACAATATCAAGTTAAAAATATTAAAAATACTTAGGCACAATTATTTTTATGATCATTTAAAGTTCGAGTTTGACAGCATTTATTGAATTTAAGATTTAAAAACGATTTTATAGTTAAAAATGTATAAAATGTTCAACTTTTATAGCCATGGATTGAACTCTAAAACATGGTTCTACGTAAATAGGTTATACTTTAACAAAAATATAAAAACGCATTTTTATTTTATTGTTACGTTATGTTCCAATTCGGACATATTACATATTAGATAACCACGCATATTAATTTTGGGTAGTTATTTTGTTGTTATTGGGCTTCGCCCGTCACACGTGATATCTGCACCTAGTCCTGCGAGTGGGCCTGATTCACCAAATCCAATGCTATAACGCCTATAACGGATTCGGCGAGCGGCCCCCTACACAATAAAATATGGTTCCAGGTAGTACGACAAGTTTTTCTTCATTCAATAGACCAAAATAGGTTTGTAGGACGATTTCTACAGTTATTCGAACTTTAAATGCTTATGACAAAAAACCGTGTGGATACACAATCGGCAATTCGAATTTTGCGCGGTTTCATGCGTCCGGCCACGTCGCAACGTTATCGCCCTGCCGCCACAATCGAAAAACTACGCGATCGAACTTTGTCGCTCAGGAGGAGGGGACGATACGGTCGCGGTCGAGCCGACGGTCGGCGCCACACACGTCGTCATTTCTCGGCCGTCTCGGAAAGTTGTACGAACCGCACGCTCCCGCTCGCGAACAGGTGCCCCGTCGTCGTTAAAATCGCAATAATTGTTTGTTTTGGTTTGAGCCCTCGCGCTCATAAACTCGTCGCGCGCGTCCTTGTGTCCGCGATTTCGAGTTCCGGCCGCCCGTGCCCACGGCTTGTTCGCTCTGTTCGTCGCCCGCCCGATCTTTTCGCCGTACGACCACGAGCCGTGGTCACCACGTGTCCACGTGGTTTCCGTCCGTCCGCCTTCATCGCGCAGTGCCAGATCATCGAGTCCACCGATCGCTGTACGCTCACCGCGATCTATTTTATTGTCGTGCCGTCCGGACAACGTCCGTCCCGCGATTCGAGCCGCGCTCATATGCGCGCCCACGTGTCTTGTTCGCCCGTCCGTTCCGACGCAGTGCGAACCGTGGGCGAGCAGTTCGTTGTCGTTTGTGCCGCGACACCGGACGCCCACGCGTGGCGATTTTTCAGATCTACCGTAAGTACACATTTCTTGCGCCCGTCCGTCCAATCTGGATCACCCCCCGCACCGCCGTCGGTACCGGCCACACGTACGCGGTGTCGTCGAGCTTTTCGTCACATTCGACGTAGGTGCAAGTGCCGCACACCAGTTCAACTTCCGTGGTCACCATCTCATCGTCGCACCGGGTCAACCGCTGCATTCTAACCGTGGTATCACCAAATTCCATATCAGGTCGTACACACGATTATTCTGTTCATTATCAATGTTTACCTTTATTCGCGCTAGGTACACGACGTTATTGGTATTTTCTAGTTAGGCACTCGATATTTGTATTTGAATTATTTGTCAACTTATTCGTAAGCCAATCGTCTTGTGTCTTGTATTATTTTTCACACTAGCCCTGGACCGTGAGCTATTTGAACCATCCCAATACTATACAGTCCACTCTCCCCCTCCTACAGGGCTATCGACACGTCACCGACGAGGTAAGTCACACACGACGCGCTACGTGTAGGCCGCCCACTGGGCTCACTCGCGCGTGCACGCGTCATCAGGCTTGATGTGCAGCTGTCGCACAAACTGTGACTAAGGATTTTTAATATTTTTCATTGGTCTTTGAAACAATGTATTAGGAGCCTTCTATTAAATTTTTAAGCTTTTGCACCCAATAAATAAAATTTTATTGATATTATAGAAAAAAAAAACCAAAGAAAATGGAAACTGAAAATGTCCGTAAAGAGCTCAAAATACCTGAAAATATTTGGAAAATTGTATAATGTATAGAAATTGGAAATATAAACAACCAGTGAAAATTTCATGCATATACGTTCATTTGTTTTAGAGTAAAAACAAAAACCAAAATCGATTTTGTGTAAAATCGATTTAGAGTAGAAATTCCTGTTTTTCATGGCGCTTTTGAAAACTACTGAAAAAATTTTATTTTTGACCCCCGAAAGTACCAACTAGATTCACTTTCCTCAGAAAAAATACTGTTGAAGAAAATCCAAGCACGTTTACTGTCCTAAAAGGTGATGACAAACACAAAAAAAAAAAAAAAAGGTGCTCTGCTATACAGTAGGTTACAAGTGGGTCACTGTATAATGGATGGTATTAAATTTGAATTCAATGATATCATATCATTGTTTGAGAAAAACGATTCTGAGCGGACACGGTATGTCAGTCTAGGTATAAGACATATCTATGGTATTAAAAAAAAATTGATATAATAGGTACCTATAATAAATTCCAAATTAATCATATCATAGTATCCATTAGGTGTACTTATAACGCGTTATACATCAACAACAAACCCTGATACTATCATAGACATATAATAGTGTACTTTAGAAGTTCCAAGTACCCACGAATAGTATTATACAATCATAACAAAATTACTAAAATAGTTATTCTAGGTTTTTTTTTATGTGATTTCGTCCAAATTTTAACTTAAAATGACTATAAAAATAAACTGTTATTATGTATTTTTAAGAGTTTTTGGTAACAGAATAAATTTCTTACGTGTTTTAAATTTTCAATCCTTAGATGTAAAAGTTGAACATTTTATAAATGTTTAACTTCAAAATTATTATTCAATTTTAAATTTGATAAATGTTGCCAAAATTCGATCTTTAAATGCTTATAAAAAAATAATAATTCATATGTATTTTTAATATTTTTCAACTGCTATTGTAACAATATATTGAGCCCTATTAGGTAAAAGGGCGTACGCGACATTTTCATTATTTTACAGGAACTAAAAAAAACACTTAAAAAATCTAATATCTGATGGATTTTTATGAAAATTATATGTGTAGGTAGTTATAAAAAAATTAATTCTAAAATACAATTAGGTACCGAATAAAAATAATATTTTTAATATTGTGTAACTTATGTCGCTTACAATAAAATAAATGTTTGAATATACCTAAATGGTGTTAACACTTTTAACTTTTGGCGCTTACAAATTAAATGCTGTCGTGTTGATTAATGCATGGTGCTTACACTAGTCTTTTAACGCACTTCGTTGAAATGTTATAATATTATAGTTTCAAAGTTATTAAATGAGTAATTGTATAACTCAATTAATTATAAGTAAATTTTTATTTTACATATTCTTTATCTTTCATATTCCCCAGTCCCCCCCACCGCCCTTCGTAAATAATAATATGATGGCTATGATGGTTGTTTGTCTATTAACCATATTTGTATATACATTTTATTATCTGTTACTTTTTGGTATTAATTGCCCTCAACTAAGATAGACATGCATAAGCATAGCTTGGTATGTATTCATATTAATATTATGGTCTTCACTATTTTCTCAAAAATTACTGAGAAATTCAAAAAATACCTTTTCTATTACATTTTACTCTAATATTTACCTGTAATATAAAATCTGACATAGAATTTAAACATAATTAGGTATATTGAAAGAAATATAACAGGCTTCCAAGTCTTTTTGGTTTTATTTTTAAAGTAAGTAAAATTAAAATACCAAAATAACAATATTAAGTATCACAATTAAAGTATTTTTAGTTCATAATATTCCTTATATTATTAATAGGAAATTAAATCTAATTAATACTTAGTTATAGGTAATATATATTTTGCAATTAAATACAATTGTAACTACCTAATACCAGTCTTTTGGTTATATTATGTTAAAATGTGTAGTGAATTATATAAATCATCTGTAGATATCTTATTAACACATTTAACTTATAAATATTATAGTAATATTAGTAAAACAAAAAATAACAATATCACAAAAAAAAAAATGAGTAAACTGACATAAAATTAATATTATACAGACATAAAATAAAAAGTACTTATTAGATTAGGGGATTAAAATATAAAATATAATACTTAATACTTAGTTTTAATAAATTAATTGCAATAAAACTGAAAAACTGTAACATAAATCTGTCATATTTTTTAATATTTTCTTATTTCAAAGTCAGTCTTTTTCTTCTAAAACATCATCTTCCTCGTCAGTTACTAATAACATATCCAAAATATTTTTGTCATGGCTTAAATTTTTGTACTCATCATGGAACCTTGTTGGTATAATTTCTTGTTTACAAAGTTTTATTAAATCAAAATACTTTTGTGATGTTATTTTTCTTGGGTAAGAATAGAGTTGTTGTGGTTCCACTAAAACTTAAGTATTTGCCTTTTTTGATTTTCTTATTCTACTAGAATGTTGAATCATAATATTTTGAAATTGTTCATCATAATCAATAAACACCTCTATTCCTTCTCCTTTAGTGAACTGAACACTTTTCATTTTTGTGATTTTAACAACTTTTTTATTATCAGTCATTAAGGTCTTTCCCATAACTGAACTAGTAAATGTCTTCCAGTCAAAGAAATCATTGAACTTCATCACTTTTACTTCAAGTGTACCAGGATTCTTTTTGAATTAGCTATCAGAGTAGGCCACTCTGATGGTGCCCAAACAGTTCTGTTTTTTAAAAAATTATCAGTAGTAGAATTAATCGCATCAACAGACATATAGGTATGCCCTGGTACTAAATAAGTGATTTTGACTGAAGTCACATATTTTGCTTTATTAATAAATTTGTTCAGCATTCCAATCATGACATAGTTCTTATTTTGACCGTAGCAGGAATCACAATAGAGTGCAATAGTTTTAATGGATTTTTTTGTCGATATCCATTAAGTAATCATGCATACAAGTAGCTATTTCTTTGCAACCTCTGTTAGCATCTCCTTCTCCTCAAAGATAACATACTACTCTTTTTGTAACAGATTCATACACTGTTAAGTTATATTGAGAGTACTTACGGCTGTAATAAAAATTCATATTATTGCCATAAGGCGTATTTAAAACTTTTTCCAAATCAAAACTGATGCACAAAAAGCTGACTCAGTTTTCTTCTGATCACTCAAAAACATAGCTTTAACTTTTTATTTTAAATTGATATGACAATTATATTTTTAATCTCTTCTTCGTTGTTATTTACATTTTCATTTTTTTTTTCATAGCTCTTACATTTGTCCTTCTTTGGTAAATGGAAGCCAATAGAGTATTTAGTTTTGAAAAACGACAAAAAACCAAAGATGAAATAGGAAATTCATTTTTTTTTGTTCAATGATCTTTATAATTTAAGTATAAATTTGCAATATTTCTAAACTCAGTTGGTAGGTATTTTTTGTTTGACTTATTGCGACAATAGTGTGATGAAACAGCTGGTAAACACCTGATCAATTTATCCACTATTTGTAACTGTTCAGGACTTGTTTTATTTCGAGGAGTATTATAACCACGTCTATCTTTTTTAGCAGTGTTCACAGGTGACTTATTCAAATGGGTATATCTTAAAAGTTTTTGAGGGACATCTAATGTCTTAAGAAGAAACTGCTGGCATACTTGAACTTCAATAGAATTATGTTTTAAAAAATATTAATTTGTCACTGATCTTCTACTTTCATCAATTGACCTTTTCTTTTTATTTGTACTTGTTTCATCCATGACAGTAAATAATCTCTTCCACGTCCATGATCTAATTCCCAAAAACATTTAAAAATATCCTCTCTTTGTGATTCATCAAACTTTTTTGAACAGTTATTTTGACACAGTTTTGCACATGGGTTGGGTTTTAGACTTTTTCCTGTTCCATTTATTAAGTAGTTTTTTAAAACTTTTCTAGTAGTACATTTTTTAGGGTTTTTACGGCCACTTCTTCCAACTACATTGTCATCACTAAAACTTTCATTCAATTCTATTTCATCTGGTTCATACGGGGCATCATAAGATATAGATATTATAGAAGCTTCATTCACAGTCATATTATTCATTTGAAAATTTGAGTTGTTATTTATACTATTATAGTCTAACTCAGTCTGATCAATTTCATGAGTATTAATGCCAGTGCTTGATATTGGCACCATCAATGCAGTGTGAAAAAAATTATTACCTTCATTGGAAACACCATCATTCTGAATTTCAACAGTATCACCAAATGAGTCTAAGTAGCAAAAATCCATGCTTTCAAGATCACTTATCGTAAGTATTGGTCTATCCATAGGATGATACATATTATTATTAATATTCCTGTTAATATCATTGACAGCATCATTCTCTGCAGCAATAATATGTACATTTTCATCTAATTAATAAAAGCAAAACATGATATTATAGGAAACATTAAAAAATAATGAGTGTATAACTAACAATATAAAAGTAGACTAACGCAATTGGATTTGGTAATGAACATTTTAGCATTAAGTGCAGTATAAAATAAATAGTAAATGAAACATTTATAATAGGTACTATTATTAGGTAACTGTAATAATATAATGTTATTTACTTTATAGATATATTGTTAAGAAAAATAAAATCATAATAATATATTATAATAAAACAAATCAAGGCCAATAGTTAGGTACCTAACTTTGTGTTAACATGTTGAACATACCAAAGTATCCTGAGTGATCCAAATTTTGATTATATTCATCATTTTCTTGTGTACATTTGAATTGTCATGAGTAATACAAATGCTATCATCAGTTAAAAGTATTTGACAAATAGTTTAATCATAATAATATGACTCTAAATCAAAAATTAAATTAAAGATTATTCCAAAATCTTACTTAGTGGTATTTTATTCAAATTGTTTGCAGCAAACAACATTTTTCATATTCGAGAACTTGATGTTCCTAATGTGAATCGTGACAACATATTTAGTATATGAATTACAGTTGTAAAAATATAAGAACTAGGTAAAAAGCAGGGAAAAAAGTAAATTAAATAATGTAGTAACACAATATAAGCTCGTCAAATGATTTTTCACCGTTTTAAATACATTCTATAAGTAATTATTTATAATATTATTGAAGATAATAGATAAACAATGTAATATTATGAAAAAAATCGTAACCAACATTATGTTACAAACGAATTTCTAAGCGCAAATTAAATTGTCACATACGCATGATTAAATAATTATTATTATTTTGTCGCTTACCCCATGCAACAAGGTCGCTTACATTTTTTTTCGAAATTAATGTGACTTACGATCAATTTTTAAGTTATTATCTAAACGACATGTCCCTTTAGTCCAATCTTTAAATGGCAAAATGACATGCTTAGGTTTATATTGTCGCTTACCTATTTTACAGATCGATGCGTCAGAATTTAAAAAAATTTTGATATCAATATCTCATTTTCGCAAAAAAATTGTCGCTTACGCCCTTTTACCAAATAAGGCTCGAATTATTATTTCAAATTTTTTATACACTATTTTTATCAGCAAAATGTATTATTGTCTGAAATTAAATGATTGTACCGCAATGGTCAGATGGCCTTATTCATATGTCCACTTTCTATTTTATTAACAGACTTCTATAGATCCGTGGAGCCATACTTGTCAACAAACTAAAATCATAAAATATAATTATTAGACACACTATTTAATTGTACTTGTTTTATACTTGTTAAAATTAATAGTTTCTAGTTCGTTCTGACAGAATACAAAATAGATCCCCTGCAATAGTTACCTATTAGTGTTTTGAAGCATAAAATTGTCTGTGAAAAATGTTTAAGACTCAGATAATATTCCATAAAGATGTACATTTTCTATGTTTGTATCCAATGTTTAAATTTTATTTTAAAATTCTAACGATAAATATTCGGCGAAAGTACAGACGATTACCCAGCAGTCCTCTAAGGTAGACTGAAAGGGGTTATCACCTCTTAAAATTGTCCAGTCTTGTGTAGGTAAAAGTTGACCCAACTTTTGTGGGTGCTCTAGGTCCAAGTATGACAATATAAGTTATAACAGAATGGATTTCACCTTCGTAATTATTTTTAAGACTGTCATGATAAAGCAACTTTTGATTCTGCATGTCCGCGACCACAAGTATCCAATGTTTAAATTTTATTTTATTTTTGTGTAAGTTTTATGCCTGCCAGCATATTTACATTTAGTAATTTAAATTATTCCTACAAACAAATAATCATTATATAAACATAAAACCAATCATAAAATGTATACCTTGGTCTTGATGGTATATTGGCTTTGAATAATACAACAGCAGACCTAAAAAAAAATCAGCCATAAGTTGTGCAATTTTTAAAATTGTTCTGTTTTGTAAATAAGTGTTTTTAGTATAAAATTGTCTGTGAAAAATGTTTAAGTTTAGATAATATTCCATAAAGATGTACATTTTCCATGTTTGTATATATCTTTGGTATGACTGTTATGTATGTAAAATTATATAACATATTTTCCACCGAAGGAAGTAAACAATATAAAACCAATCAGTACTCATAATAATATTAAGTTAACATTTAAAGAGAATAATTAACAACTATACATAAATACAATCAGTCAATAGCATATGTATTTTATGCCTACAACTTTTTACACAGATATAAATGAATCTAAATACTTAACACTAATATTTTATTATTTACAAATAAAATATACTAACCAAAAATTAAATTAATTTTCAATTGAAAAAATATTAACTATGTTTACAATTTATTTCCTCATTTATATAATTTTCGTTCACATCTATTTTATAGAGTTGTTGGGTAGAAAGTTCAAAAGAGCTATCAACTTTCTAAATGCCAGTATATGTTGTTGACTAAAGTTGAAGGCTTCATCTAACGATAAATATTCGGCGAAAGTACAGACGATTACCCAGCAGTCTTCTAAGGTAGACCGAAAGGGGTTATCACCTCTTAAAATTGTCCAGTCTTGTGTAGGTAAAGGTTGACCCAACTTTTGTCGGTGCTCTAGGTCCAAGTATGACAATATATCAGAATGGATTTCACCTTCGTAATTGTTTTTAAGACTGTCATGATAAATCAACTTTTGATTCTGCATGTCCGAAACTACAAGTATCCAATGTTTAAATTTTATTTTATTTTGTGTAAGTTTTATGCCGGCCAGCATATTTACATTTAGTAATTAAATTATTCCTACAAACAAATTATCATTATATAAACATAAAACCAATCATAAAATGTATACCTTGGTCTTGAAAATTTGAATAAATTAAAGAGTGTTGATGGTATATTGGCTTTGAATAATACAACAGCAGACCTAAAAAAAAAATCAGCCATAAGTTGTGCAATTTTGAAAATTGTACTGTTTTGTAAATAAGTGTTTTTAGCATAAAATTGTCAGTGAAAAATGTTTAAGACTTAGATAATATTCCATAAAGATGTACATTTTCCATGTTTGTATATATCTTTTCTATGACTGTTATGCATGTAAAATTATATAACATATTTACCACCGAAGGAAGTAAACATTATAAAACCAATCAGTACTCATAATAATATTAAGTTAACATTTAAAGAGAATAATTCACAACTCTACATAAATACAATCAGTCAATAGCATATGTATT